GCCCGGCCGCGCAGGCTCCAGACGCAGTGCGCCTCCGCCTGCGTCTGGGTGCAGTACCTGGCCCAGGGGGGCTCGCCCCGCCCGGGCGGCGCCGCCCGGTGCAGGGCCGAGCAGGCGCCCGGCGACAGCTCCTCGGGCCAGCGATTTTTTTTTTTTTTTTTTTTTTTTTTTTTTTTTTTTTTTTTTTTTTTTTTACAAAAAAAAAAACAAAAAAAAAAGCTCCTCGGGCCAGCGAGGCACGTAGATCACGAAGCCGTCCCGCACGAAGGGGGCCACGGCCTCCGCGAGGGACCCGTCGAGGTCGTAGACCACGAACCTGTCGAAGCCCACCAGGCGGTGGTACTCCAGCCACTGCCGCACGAGCTCGGCGTGCTCCGGGCTCGTCAGCCACATCGGGGCAGAGCAGCCCACCACGCCCCAGAGGCGCCGCCTGGGGCGACTGGAGGTAGGAGCGCGCCGCGGGGCAAGGGCCCCCTCCGGGAACGAGCAGCTCTCTGGCCCGCTCCCTGAGCACCCCCCTCCTTGGCACCCCCCTTCGGAGGCCACTTGCAGCTGGACTTTTGACGACCCGCTCGCCTGCGCCCCGCTGCCCCGACCTCAGGGAAAGAAGAAATTGCATACAGTGGGAGCCCGACCACAAGAGACCGTCCACGAGAAAGCCAACCCTGAGACCCCAGGACCTCCACTGAGATCTAAAGTGGGAACGCCACGCCTCCCACAGCAAAACGACCGTCGACACCGAAGAAACCCCAAGGCACCCTGGAGGCACGCAGGGTGTTTTTTTTGGCATGGGGCGGGCTCGCCGGCGGGGCTGGCCGCGCCGCTCGCTCGGCGAGCGATCCGTCCCCCCCCCCTGAGCCACTCGCTCCGTCCGCCCCTCTTTCGGCCGCGCCCTCCCCCTGCTCCTCCTCTTGCATGGTGGCACACTTCGCCCTCATGGCTTCCCCGTTTGGGCATCCCATCGCCAGCGATCCGTCCCCCCCCTGAGCCACTCGCTCCGTCCGCCCCTCTTTCGGCCGCGCCCTCCCCCTGCTCCTCCTCTTGCATGGTGGCACACTTCGCCCTCATGGCTTCCCCGTTTGGGCATCCCATCGCCAGCGCAGACGTCCTCTGCCTGGCCGCCGACGCAAAAAACAAAGGTGCTTCCTGGCATGGGCCTCCACTGCAAACTTCCGGAGCCCCGCGCGGCTTTCCTGGGCGTGTGTCGGGCGTTGGCAGAACTGGGTTTAGTGGAACCTGGTTTAATGATGTGTACCGGGGGGCGCCCCCCCCCCGCCCCGTTCCGCTCACCGGAACTGCCGTCACCCGAAAGTCACCGGTTACGGCAAGCCCGGCTTGGTGAATCCGGCCAATTGAGGGGCCCCAGGGCCCTACCTCTAACCGGGTCCCCTTACCCGGGGTCCTGGCTATACCCGAGAGGAGGAGGAGGAGTAGGAGGAGGAGGAGGAGGAGGAGGAGGAGAAGGAGGAGGAGGAGGAGGAGGCGGAGGAGGACGAGGAGGAGGAGGAGGAGGAGGAGCGCGCCTCCCTCCCGGCGCGCGGAGCGCGCCCATGGGGCGCCTGCCGAAGAGGCCCCGCGCCGGCCTGGGAAGTCCGCGCGCGCCTCCGAAGCCCCCGCTGGCCCTCCCCCCTCGTCGAGAGCGTGGGCCTCCTCCGCCTCCGCCTCCTCCTCCTCCTCCTCCTCCTCCTCCTCCTCCTCCTCCTCCTCCTCCTCCCTCCTCCCTCCTCCTCCCTCCTCCTCCCTCCTTCCTCCTTCCTCCTTCCTCCTTCCTCCCTCCTTCCTCCTCCTCCTCCTCCTCCTCCGTGGCGGCGCGCACAGGGGGTAGGGGGAGGGGATTACAGGGATTACAGCCTTCGCGTAGCGAAATTACACAGCACTCCGCGCTCACCTGACCCCCAAGTGCTGCGAGTTGAAGGCCGACTCGACGATGAAACCAAAGCTGGACGGAACACAAGGATACCGGCCTGAGTACCTCCACAGCGTACCATGTTCACTCACTCTGCAAATACGCCGAGCCGTACAGGAGAACGCAAAAATATAGCAATTGAACGTGTAACAGTGCCGAATGCTGAGCGGAAGGCTTCTTAGAAGGAGGCTGCTTCTTAGAAGGCGCGGGCCTTGCATCTACAGAGAAGACCCGCGCCTTCTAAGAGGCAGGGTTGCTTCTGAGAAGCCTGCCCCCCTGTCCCTACCCTTTTTGCGCGCGGCCGAACTTTCTCGGACAAGCCCGCCCTGAAAACGTCTGAAAACGACACCCGCCCTGAAAACGTCTGCTCGTGCCCAGGAGCCGAAAGAGACCGATGCCGCTGCTCTGCTCCCCAGACCTCTCCTGGAGCGCGTTCTGAGGGGAACGAGCAATGACATACACATATGTAATAGCTCGGAGTTCCGCGCGGATTTCTCGGATCCGCGCTGGGGCCCGGCGCCGCCCCTGGCGCGCTCCGCGCGCCAGGGAGGGGGTCCAGCGCCGATCCGAGAAATCCGCGCGGACCTTTGGGTTTTTATGTTTATGTCAGTGTTCGTCCACCTAGTTATGACCAGAATCTCGAGGCGAATCCAGCAGTGGCGACGAAGGCTTCCAAGGAGGCCCAGAAAGGCAAACACGAGACAAGGACAAGGGTAGCGGTAGCGGTGCCTGCTCCTCCTCGGAGTGCCGTTTGTTTTCTCCCAGACATGCAGTGTCTTGATTTGTTTCCAATGCGGGGGCTCCGGAACACCCGGCACTTTCTTCAGGGCAGACTTTGCATCCCGAGCCGCTCTTGGGCGGTCCCCGGGCCCGGCGAGCGCCCCCAAGATGCCGAAGCAGTGACAAAACCCTCCGCCGTGCTCTTCTTCGTGACGCGCTCATGTCTAGCCTTGTTGGGCGCCCGAGTTATCCGGGGTAACTCGGGTCCGGGGTAACTCGGGTTTGGATTCCCGAAAAAGGAACCCGAGTTATCCCTGACCCGAGTTACCCCTGATGATTCGGGGCTCTGGACGCCCGAGTTATCCGGGGTAACTCGGGTCCGGGGTTACTCGGGTTCGGATTCCCGAAAAAACGAACCCGAGTTATCCCTGACCCGAGTTACCCCTGATGATTCGGGGCTCTGACCTTGGGTCAGGCATGCCCCCCCCCACACAGGCGGATTTTGGACGACACATGGAGGCAGGTACTCAAACAGTGTTCCAAACAGTCGAGGCATCGTGCCCTGACTATTTTTGTTTGACGATCTTTCAAGATTTCTCCTGTAGAGGGGCGTGCCCGAATTCAGTCTACAGTCATCGGCCTGACCTAAGGAACGATAGATAAGGAACGAAGCCCCTTTTCTAATCCCAAGGAATAACGCAGAAGGAACGATGAATAACAAACAACGCATACGGAATTGTAAATGACGCATGCAAGCCTAAGGAACGACCGAGCCCCTTTTGCAAAGCAAGTGTTCCTTATTCAAGCCGCTCGCTGTAGCCTTGGCCCCTCCGAGGCCTGCCGCAGCCCCGGCGGCGGTGCGCTCCCGCCTCCGCCGCGCCTCGCGGGCGAACATGTCCCCACAACTCCGCGGCCTCGCTGGCCGGGCCTCTCGGCCGCGGCCCCGCCGGCACCGGGCGCTCTTCGGCGGATGCCTCGCGCGGAACGTGGCCCGTGCGAGCGTTCGGTCGGGCAGGTCCTCCTGCAGGCGGATTTGGGAGGACAGATTTTCAAAAAGAGTCCAAACATGCTCAACACTGCTCAAGAATGGCAGAAACATCGCCCCAGACTATTTCTGGACTACCTGTGGATATTCCTCCTGTAGAGGGACATGCCCGACTTCATGCGAGCGTGGTCCGCGGGATCGTGCCGCGGAGTCCAGACTGCGAAGGCGCGGATACTGTAGGGGAAGGCGGGGACCACGACCCAGACTGGGCGCGGGAAGTTCGTGTCGATCTTGGTCACCGCCCATCTTGGTCGGCGTCACGTCGTGGACCACCCTCACGAACCGGCAGCGGCTGACACGGACCATGACCAAGATGGCATTGACAAAATCCTGCGACATCTTCTAGGGCTCCCAACTTCGCGCTTCGCGCTGCGCGAAGCGCGAAGCGCGAATAACTTCGCGCTCTCGCGCCGCCCTCCCAGAAGGAGAATAGGAGGACGAGGAGGAGGGGGAGAAGGAACGAGGACCGCGAAGCGCGAAGCGCGAATAACTTCGCGCCCTCGAGGGAGCCCTTACATCTTGGTCATGGTCCCCGTTGCTCAGGCGACAGTGGGCGGAAGGGGGGGGGAGGGGGGGGGGTCTGGCGCTGGACCTCTGCTTGATGCGACTGCTGGCAGCAGTGCGTCCTGTGGGGGAGACTCCACCTGCTCGAAAGAGGCGCCAGAAACAGCCAAGATCTACTGCATGGGGGGGGAGGGGGGTGCGAGGGCCCGCGCCGATCGGCAAAACAATGAATCAGAACACTATCACATACGGATATGTTCGCCGCCCGTGAGCGCCAGCACAGCGGCACGGGCGCCGCGGCCGACCACTCGGGCGCGCCCACGGCCGTGAGCCACACCGCCAACGCCGCGCCGCTGGCGGGCGCGCGGCGCAGGCGCCGGGCGATGGCTGGCGGCAGGCCGCAGCGCAGCAGCACCTCGGGGCCGTAGTGGGAGGCAGCGGCCGCGGGCGAGGACCTCAGCTTAGATCTAGGCCTCCCACATGGGGTCGGAGTGCTGAGTAGATGGGGTCGGAGGATCGCGCCGCATCGCCGATGCATCGACGAGGCAGCTCGATGCGGAGCCCGATTTTCTCCACGACGACGTCGCCGATGTGTCGCCGACGTCGGCGATGCATCCCCGATGCATTGGCGATGCGGCGCTATCCTCCGATCCCATCTACTCGGGACCCATCTAGGAGGCCTCCATTAGAAGAGGAAATGCTGAGACCCTGGTGTCTGGATTTTTCCTAACCCTCCTTGGTTAGGTATTCGTTTTGAATAGAGCAATGCGGTCGCGTCCTTCCCCTCCCGCCTCCCGCCTCCTGCCTCCCGCCCCCTGTCTCCCGCGAGACCTCGCCGTCCCTGGGGGGGGGCTGCGATCTGCGAGACTGTCGCCACTTTCGAGGGCTGCTGGTGGGTCCAGCGGAGTGAAGCACCGCGCAGATCTGAGCGAGACCTCGCCGTCCCTGGGGGGCTGCGATCTGCGAAATTGTCGCCACTTTCGAAGGCTGCTGGTGGGTCCAACGGAGTGAAGAACCTCGCAGATCTGAGCTAGACCTCGCCGTCCCTGGTGGGCCGCGATCTGCGAAATTGTCGCCACTTTCGAGGGCTGCTGGTGGGTCCAGCGGAGTGAGGAACCTCGCAGATCTGAGCTAGATCTCGCCGTCACTGGGGGGCTGCGATGTGCGAAACTGTCGCCACTTTGGAGGGCTGCTTTGGGGGGGCAGCATAGCGATCTG